ATTTTAGCAAATGGCTGCAATATAACAAAGAGTGAAAAATTGAAGGGGGTCTGAATACTTTCCGTACCCACTGTATACCTATGTGTTTACCTTGTTCATTGCCAGTCATTGTTCTCTTTAGATGTCTGTGTGCTTTTGTTCCTCTGTAGAGGCTCTAGACTTCCTGGTTTGTTCCTGCTCTGAGTTTCTGGTGTACCTGTGTTTTGTTTGTTTCTTTAGTTAGTTAATATACCCTGCTGTGACCCAAGTGTGACTTGTATAATGATTTTTTTTTTCATATTATGAATTATATGCTAAATATTTTTTTCTTTACTTTTGAATCAGTTTGAATCCACTTAAATTATTTGTACTAAACCACAGATTTGTTCACAATTAAAACACCACTACTGCGTGTAGCGGCCTGCTTGAGACATTGATTAATGTTATCTTATTTCACTTTTCACAAAAAAACAAAACATATGGTATAGACTTAGTTTAGACAGCTGAATAGATATTGGTTTTGTTCAACAAGATCAACAATTAGAGGAACACTAGATATCATGGCTTCTCTCATATGTCAACAGTATGCTCCTGTAGGTTCAGATTAAGGGTCAACCATTCATCTCGCAGTCTTTCTGACCACAGACACAAAGCATGTTTGTATGATTTCATCAGTGGTAAATCATACATTTACACCAGCTTAGGAAGATGGAGGGACATAATAATTTTTGGTGTATGCCTAAAGTGCAAAAATAATATATGAAGAGTAAGCTAAAGAAAGATTCTAAGCATACTTGCAGTATAAAACAATTAAACTAGTAGTTTTACTGAGAGTGTACCACAGAGAGTACTATAAACTAAAAAAGTGGGCTAAAAGTATATAACTCGTAAACTAGCAGTATAGCTTAAGTTAGGGTGTATTTACACCAGGAAAGTCCGCTAGTTCACTTGCTTTGGTCCAGACCAAATACAATGTTGATTTTTTTTTTGTTTTGTTTGGTGCGGTTCGCTTTCACGCTGCCCTTTTTGTAAGTGAACCAGAAACTGTAAAGAAAACCACACGTGTGCTTAAGGTCATCCATTCATTGGTTTATCCATTCAACCGTACCAGAGTTCGTTTGGAAGCGGACCGAGACCACCTCTTCAGCTTTGCAAGTGAACCAGAAACTGTAAACAAAACCACACATGTGCTTAAAGTCAACCATTCATTGGTTCATCTATTCAACCCTACCAGAGTTCATTTGAAACCGGACCGAGACCACCTCTTCAGCTGGGTCTCCGTACTGTTGTTTGGTCCGCACCCAAGTGCGATTGGTGTATTCACAGCAAAGGGTCCGCACCAAGAGGGGAAACAAACTTGCGTTCGATTCAGTCGAACCAAACAAGAGAGGTGTGAATACACCCTTAATCTGTATAGTTGTCATACTAAAGAAAAATGTAAAATAGTTGTTTAGTACTCTTACACTTAAACGTATACTTTTATAAACCAAAAAGTGGGCCAATTTAGTCCCAGGACGTATTGAAATAGCACAAGTACAAGTATACTACTAGCACATTGATATTAGTATCACTCAGAAAATAAAGTACACTCTGTAAATATCCTTGAACTTGTATTTGTGCCCATATTGTGATCATTGAGTTCATAATTGTAGTTTTGGTGTCTGCAGGAATACATTTATATGATTTAAAGTTCAAAAACCATATTGTTCATTTATCTTACAGTACATTGCTGCAGCACCTCTTTTCACTCTTTGCCTGAAACACTTGTTTTAGTACCTGTATTTTTAAAGCCCACATTTTTAAAAACCCAGTCTGCTCTTATTGATCTGCTGGCCCAGTCTGTTGTGATTTGTCAGCCGTTAAGAGTGTGTGTCAGCTTCATGAGCAGCTGTAAATATTTTAATATCTATGGTAAGTATGGCATCGGAAGTTTTTTGTTTTGTTTTTTCTCCTCAACACAGCAAAAATCACTATGTAAAATGACGTACACAGATATAATGGCAGGACTACAAATTAGGTATTTCAGGCAAGTGTTTTCAGCTGGAAAGATGAACTTATTTATTTATTTACTTACTTTTTTTGGGTGGGGGGGGTATGAACTTCATTACTTTTTTAGTTGATAAGTGCTGCTTATTTTCTGCACAGTAGCAAATCAATGAACACACAGACTACTTCCAGTTTAAAACCCTGTCCATTCAATTAGCTCCAATTCATAAATTCTCTATATAATTCCAAAACCTTTGTCTTAACCACTTGTTCTAAACAATGTTACTTGTATTGATTCAGAAACAAAAATGCCTTTCAGAGGTTTCCTCACATTGCCTTTGACTACATATCATTATATTAAACATCTATAGTGAAACTTATTAACAAAGCTGACATAAAATCAATTTATTTCTGTGAAATGTGACATAGACTTGAGCTTTGCTGAATCAGTATCCAAAAAAGTTCTAAAGTAATGTATGCATTAAAATTCAGAACGCAAGTCTACTGTTTGACAAGATAAATTCATGGCCATAAGGGCAAGACACCACAGCCAACTCTACTTCCAAATAATGATTATGTCCTTTTTTTGGCCTAAAATAAATGAATGGAGAAAAAAAACTCGACCAAGAAAATGCTGTCAAATCATATTAATAAAAATAACACTTTTTTGAGGTTTTTTTGGAGAAAGAAAATGCTGTCAAATCATATTAATAAAAATAACACTTTTTTGAGGTTAGAGTGTAGGGTTGGATTGATACCAAGTTCTTGCCTTCTCTATGAAACCAATCTCCGGGACTAAATTTATACCTCAGGCAGCAAATAAACAGCTTCAGGCAATGCTAAAATTGCCAAGTTATGGAGCTGTACTTGGGTCTCCAGTATAAGAGACACCCTCTTATACCATGAGCCACAGAGCAGGTGGTGGAACCAGAAGGGAAGACAAACACAGCACTTATGTTAAAATGGAAGTATAATTAACATAAGAAGAAGAAGAATGCAAAAAAACTCAAATTTATAGTAGTGAAAAGGCTCAGATCAAAAGGGAAAAATGAAAAGCAGGTACAAAATTATCTGCAGAGAAGTAATAGCCAGTAAAAAAAAAAAAAAAAACATCTTCAAAGTCAGAAACCTGACATGTGCTTACTCTAGACTACCCTCAAGCACTATCGCTAATTCCCACAAAGGGACTGTTGCTCTGGTGGGCGGCCTCAACCATTTAGCTCCACAAATGAAATGGGCGACCAGAGGGTGCTCTCCCACTGTCACGGGTGCACTGCTGAGCGGAGTCAGGAGCAAGGAACGGAGAGAGATGAGGAGTAAATCAATCCAACTGGGTTTAATTTACACAAAGGAACACGGAACACTCGGGGCCTGGAGCCCTCCCTGGCCTAACGGGGAATCTGGATCCCTCCCTGGGTGGAACTGGGGATCAGGAACCCTCCCTGGGCCTAACGGGGAATCTGGAGGCCTCCCTGGGAGGAACTGGGGATCAGGAGCCCTCCCTGCGCTCAACGGGGAAACAGGAGCCTTCCCTGGGCTGAACTGGGGATCAGGAGCCCTCCGTGGGCTTAACTGGGATCAGGAGCCCTTCCTGGACTGACATCGGAAACAGGAGCCCTCCCTGGGCTGACATC